TCGCTCAGACTCGGGTTCTCTGCCACGAAGTAGTCTGGGGGTCGGGGAGGGGGTGGGGGACGCGGCTCAACCGCGGGGCCGCAGCGGAGCCAACATGGCCGGCGGGGGAGGAGTGAGACGGAGCCGGAGGGGGCGGGGAAGCTGCGGCCCGGAGAGCCGCCCTCCTTGGCCTGGGCTACTGGGTCCTAACGCCCGGGCGTCTCAGCTTCTAGATCCCGATCTGGGTCCTAACGCCGAATGAGTGCTACAATCCAGGCACACAGGGCAGGCCGATCTTTTTGAGGTCTGTCGTTTTGCTTCAACCCCAGGCAAATCGGCAGGGGAGCCATAGTTCTAAGATTAACGTAAAAGATTAGGGCACAGCTCTAGTACCAAAGGCACGTGCTAACTTGAGGGAGGGAGACGCATGACAATTTCAAGGACAGTTTATTTCTCAAGGCATGGTAGTAGAAAAATGAAGCGGAAAGGTTAGTCAGGGTACGATTCAGCCCCGGTAAAAGGTTGAAAGCAAGAGTCCGCCGCCCACTCACCTCTCTCTCTTCAGGGCAGCCGGGTCCTCTCTGGATCACCACTTTCCTGGTGACATCTGCAAGGCCCTGGCCTTCAGAAAGATTCCTGTGAGTAGGGAAAAGATACTTCGTCTGGAACTAGAATGATGAAAACTGATTCTAGCCTAAATACCCTCCAAAGAGTGGAGGATAAGCAGAAAATTGAAGAATAAATAAGGCCTACTTCCGGGGCGTGGTGGAGCTGCCTGTAATCTCAGCAACTCAGGCTGAGGCAGGAGGATTGCCGAGTGAGGCCAGCCTGAACTACATAGCAACACCCTGTCTCAAAAAAAAAAGGGAAAAGAAAAGGCCTATTCTATAGTTCTAGTACTTTTTCTGGCAAGACTGCATAGCTGTGTGTAATCTTCTGGAAACAGAAGTAAAATCTAGCAGATGCACTTGCCTGTCACCTAACGTGTCTGTTGCAGGGTCACAGGCTGGAAGATAGTGTCATACGATGTTAGAGAGTACTGAATTTTTAGTTCAACTCTCTCTTCTTTGTCAGATTAAATTAAGGCCCAGAGAGGTTCACTGACTTGTTCAAGGTCAAACAGTGGATAACATATGACGACAAAGGAAACCAGGTTTTGTTTCCTTACAATTCAACATTTTTCAGGCTTCAGGATAATGCCCTTTCAAGTCAATGCAATGCAATTCTATAAAGAGCCTAAATTGTGCAATGTTCAGTGTTCAGGCTGAATGTCTTGGAAGAGCAAGACAATGGGGACTGTCAACCTCTGGCAGGTTGGGAGGTGTCAACAAATACCTTTACCTAGGGGTGTCTAAGGAGGAAACAGACCTGAAAATTAGGTGAGGACCGGGCAAGGTGGGAGCAAATCCATCAATTCTAGATTGATTTCCTTACTCCACAGAGGGGTGGGCTCAAAGAGTGACTCCACCCACCACTATAAATAGCTCAGAAAGGCTAAAACGGGAGCTTGCTTTAGCAAAAGCCTCCGTGTGTGGGCCAGCAGAGAGTAAAGAGAATTTCTGTCCCTCTCCTTAGATAAGTAGATTATTAGAGGAAGAAGTACACAAGTAGAAACCAAAATCCTTTTCCTTGTCAACAGATTTATAGGTCACCTTGAGAAAAACACACCCCGCGCCCAATATCCTGCTGATCTTAAATCCGTAGTGAAGTAAAGGCTACCCTCAGGGGGAAAGAAATCCCTCCTGGAGAAAGGGACGATCCAATAAACTTCTGTTAAGGAATGCCTTTCTATCTCCTAAATAAATAAAAGGCAGGGGCTCAGCACGCAGAAGTGGTGAAGGGCAAAGCGGGAGAAAGAGGGGCAGAGGAGATGGCGGCAGGTGGGGAAGAGATCTGGTAACTTTTTTTTTATTTTGCACGGGGATCGACCTGGGGACCTTGCGCTTGCAAGAGAGGAGGCAGAACCACTGCGATATCCCTCTTTTTCCTCAAGATTTTCTAGGGCAGATGAGGGTAAATCTCCCTATCTCCCGCCCCCAAATACAGGGCTAGCCAGTCGGAAACTGAGCCAGCAAGGGCGGAGCCTGCGCCGGTCAAACGGGTGTGGGCACGCCCCTCCGCTCCACACCACACACCCACACACACCCACCGCGGCTTCTCTCCACTCCGGAAGAGCCGGTTACTCCTGTGCCCACTGACTGCCCCCACCCCTTCCGAGCCCCAGGCCTAGTCTCCAGGGCAACCTCTAGGACTGTCCCAGACGGGAGAGGTTGGGAAGAGGGTTTTGGGTAGGACAGGAGCACTTGGGGATTAGAAAAGAAAAAGGAGCAGGATCCACTTTTACCATCTGGTACAGAAGACAATCACCTTCACCCCTGAATGAGATCCTGCCTTATCCCATTTAATCAGGGATCTTCCTAGCACTCTAAAGGCTGTCAGCAGCCAAAATGTCCAACAGCTGGGTGTTTACTTCTTGCCAGACACCACCCCAAGCAGCAGCTGTGCTTCTCCCTCCCATCCAGACGGCAGAGGGCAGACTGACCCCATGTGTCCCTAAGCATTTCTCAATCCCATCAGATGCGGCCAATGACCTACCCACCTCCCTTTAAGAAGCTACTAGAAAGGTGAAGGGGCAGATGGTCAATTTATCAGTAATTTATGTTAAGACTGTCTAGGAAACAGATTCCTCAACACAGGCCAGGGAAAGAGAAGAGAAAAAGAGAAAGGAGTAAGAGAAATTAGCACCTGCTCCCCTTTCTTACCCTCCTTTCCAGCTTCACTTCACTGACTCTGGCTGGGGTCAGCTGCCACAGTGCCTGGCTCCACTCTGAAGCCAGATGGAAGGGAACAGGAGGAAGAAGGGAAATGGAGTGTCCTACTAGTTCTAGTTCTACCTCCTTCCCTCTCCCCGCTTCAGACACTCCTAGTATCCAACACTACTGACCACCCTCACCTTCCCGTTGTGCCCTCCCAGCCCCCAGAACACAACTCACTCAGTCCCCAATTATGGAGATGGTAGATGGAAATGAAAGCACAAAAGGAGCAGCAGAGCTAGGGGTGCTGCTGTTGGACTTGGGAACAAAGAATTTCCCACTTGAGGTAGAGTAGTTATAAAAGACCTCCTTCCTCTCACTAGCAGAATGGATCATACTGTTAATAAGATCTAGTGGAGAGATGGTTCTTGGCCCTGTATCCATTCCAACTGGTCCCCTACTCCATTAGGTCCCAGCAAAACAGTCCTCACACTCCTCACCTTGGGGAGGCAAGATTCTCCCATGATATATGAAAAGGCAAATATACTCTTCCCCTCCAAGTCGGCCAGTGCCCCTCAGATTTATAGTCGGGGTGGAGGTTCCCTCTGCATCTTGAATAGAGAAATATGGGCTTCTCTCGCCTCACCCATCACCCCAAATCCCTCAGGGATCTGATTTAGCCCAGGCCCCCCAACCCGTTCGCCCCAACAGCCCCTAGCCGCACGCAGATCCTCGATTCTGGGGGAGGGGCGTCCGAGGCCTAACCAGCCAACCCCAGGACCAAGAACGAGGCCCTTCCCACCGGGCGCTGTGGGCGGGGCTGGGGCCTGACCCCAAACTCTGGAGACTAGGGGTGGGGCGACGGCTGCGGGGGCTGGAGGGACGCTGGAGGTGGTGTTTCTCGAACCGAGAGCCGCAGGACTACTGTCGTCCGGGTTGCCCCGGCCTCGGCCCTTACTATAGGAGAGGAGGGGAGCTGGGTGGTGGTTGTCCCCCTCTGTTGAGGTTAGGATGGCGTGGGAAAGCGCTAATTCCAGAGGGGAGGAGGCGAGACCTAGACCGCCGGAGATGTTTCTGGCAAGGACAACGCGGGGGAGGGGAGATCTAGGCCCAGAATGGGAGGGGCACCGGAGAGGATGACTGCGAGGCTGGAGAAGCCTCTGGATTCCAGTCACCAAGCACGAGAAGCCGGCGAAT